GCCAAGCCGCTAAAGTCGCTAAAGTAGTGATAAATCCTGTTAATAAAATGGGTCCTATAGAAAGTCCATCTATTCCTAATCTCCAATGGAAATCAAAAAAATCGATCCATTTATAATCCTCTACTAGTTGGATTAATGGATCATCCGATTGGAAATGATAACAAAATGCATAAGTTGTTAGAAGGAGTTCTAAAATACATATACATATCGTATACCACCTAATTACCCTATTTCCTTTATGGGGAAGAAAGAAAATTAAAGAACCCGCAAATATCGGAAAAACGACAATTATTGTTAACCAAGGAAAATAATTCGTAGTAAAGACAAGATACACTTGGACCAAAAAAACCCGTGCTCAAAATATTTTTATTTTCGAGCACAGGTTTGTCGGTAAAAAAATTAAATGGATTCAAGTAGAGTTTTCTCGAACGTATCAATAAGCTAGACCCATACTGCGAGTTGTTTCATGCCATAAATAAACTCGGACACTCAAGAAATCTGTTGGACAGGCGGATTCACATCTCTTACAACCAACACAGTCCTCTGTTCGTGGAGCAGAAGCAATTTGTTTAGCCTTACAACCGTCCCAAGGTATCATTTCTAATACATCAGTGGGGCAGGCTCGGACACATTGAGTACATCCTATACACGTATCATAAATCTTTACTGAATGTGACATTGGGTCTATACGTTTTGAATGTTATAAATTTTCGATCTAGTAAACTTAGAAACGAATCATATATTTAGATACCAGATGAATCAATGAGTTATCATGATTTTCTAATCAACCCCTTTCTGGATTGGTTTATGAGATATGAGAGAGGCCAAAATACTTTGATTTCTTATGTTTTGCAAACAAGATCATACTTTACGTAGTAAACATGCTAATTAAAATTGATTTCTCAATATTAGAATCTAGATGATTAATATTAATTATTCAACAAATTTGATTGGTTGATACGAGTTGATTTTCTGTTACGGTAAATTGATGAAACAATAGCCAGGCCAATGGCTGCTTCAGCGGCTGCAATAGCTATAACAAAAATGAGAAAATGTCTCCCTTTAATTGACGATTATCAAAAAAATCAGAAAATGTTACAAAATTTATATTAACCGCATTCAATATAAGTTCAAGACACATAAGGGCTCTAACCATATTTCGACTTGTGATCAATCCATAGATACCGATAGAAAATAAATAGGCACTCAAAACAAGTACATGTTCGAGAATCATTAAACAACTCCTTATCAATCTCGACTCCTTTCAATATGAACAACAATTCAACTAATTTCATTGACTAGTATATAACAAGTATGGAACAAAGAAATAGATTGGTACTAGATTGACCTAAAGTCTTTCTATTTATCCAGCTAGAATTCAAATAGAATTCAAGGAAAATTAATGTGATAAGACAGAACAAAATTTTATTTGAATTCCAAGTTTTAATAGAAATTTTTTATTGACGAGCTACAGCAATTGCACCTATTAAAGCAACTAAAAGGATTATGGAAATAAGTTCAAATGGGAGAAAAAAATCTGTTGATAAATGAATTCCAATTTGTTGACTATTACTTAGAAAATCTTGCTCTATAATCTGGTTTGATCTTGTAGTCCAAATAATCCCGTACCATGACGTATCTGAAATAGTAGTAATTAGTGAAATAAAAAGACTTATACAAACCATCGAAGTAATTCCATCTCCTACGGTCCAAAGATGAAAATCCTTGTAATATTCTGAGCCATTCATGAACATCACAGCAAAAATGATTAAAACATTTATAGCTCCTACGTAAATAAGTAGCTGCGCAGCAGCTACAAAATAGGAGTTAGATAGAATATAGAATAACGATGTACAAATAAGAACCAATCCCAAGGAAAAGGCCGAATAAATTGGATTGGGAAGTAATACCACTCCTAGACCCCCTAATATAAGACCCGATCCTAGAAAGACTAAAAGAAAATCATGTATTGGTTCAGATAAATCCATTTTTTATAAAAAATCAAAAACGAAGAATTTCATGACTTTATTGACCTGACCAGGAAAAAAGAAGTTTTTCTATTTTTTATGATACTTTGAAATTGTTAATTGAATGAAAGTCTAATGGGTATGAATTGACGTAGATGCTTTTATTTTATTGGACCACTATCCATTCTTTATTCGTCGAAAGAGTAGTTTAAACCTATCTATTTTTGATATCATTTATCTACTTTGAAACCATTACTATTATAATATATAATATTGAAATCGGTTTTGTTTTCAATCTAAATTAAGCTAGGAGTCTCATTAAGCAACCACTAGTTTGAATTGCCCAAGCAAAAATCTCATTGTTTTAGATCCGAACTAAGCCTTCGTAATTCGTAATTTTTTTGAATCGAATTAAGGGTTTATTCATTGTTTATTTGAGGTAAATTCGAAATTGTTCGAATTGTGTAATCATCAATTACTGACATTGGTAAGCGACCCAAAGCGATTTGATTATAATTCAATTCGTGACGATCATAAGTAGAAAGTTCATATTCTTCGGTCATTGATAAACAATTTGTTGGGCAATACTCAACGCAATTACCACAAAATATACAGATTCCAAAATCAATACTGTAATTAAGCAATCGTTTCTTTCGAATATCAGTTTCCAACTTCCAATCAACAACGGGTAAATCTATAGGACATACACGCACACATACTTCACAAGCAATGCATTTATCAAATTCAAAGTGTATTCGGCCTCGGAAACGTTCCGATGTGATCAATTTTTCGTAGGGGTATTGAATAGTTACAGGTAAACGATTTGCGTGGGACAGGGTAATCATGAAACCTTGGCCGATGTATCTGGCGGCTCGTATTGTTTGTTGACCATAATTTATGAATTCAGTTATCATAGGGAGCATATGTTGAATATCTATAAAAAAGATTTTATGCTTGTTTCTTTCTCTTGTTTGAGACAAGTCGTGAATCTAGGATATTGTGGTCTTTTACAGTGAAAGAAGTTGGGACGAGGTTGTCAATAATAGATTACCTAGAGAAATCGGTAAAAGAAATTTCCACCCAAGATTTAATAGTTGGTCCATTCTCAGCCTCGGTAAAGTCCATCTTGTTGCAATAGGAATGAACAAAACAAATAAGTTTTGGCTAATGTGATAAAGATACCAATTAGTGTTCCAAAGACTTTACCCCTTTATTTATGCCAAATAGCTCAGGAACAAATATGTACGGAATAGAAAGATTCCAACCTCCCAAGTAAAGAACTGTTACAAATAATGAAGAAACTAGTAGATTCAGATATGAAGCAATGTAAAATAAACCAAATTTGATACCTGAATATTCGGTTTGATACCCTGCTACTAATTCTTCTTCTGCTTCTGGTAAATCAAAAGGTAATCTTTCACACTCGGCGAGAGAAGAAATTAGAAAACGATAAACCCGATGGGTTGACGCCACAAATTCCACCCCAAAAACCATATTTTGACTGCGCTTCCACTATATCAACTGTACTTGAACTGTTAGATAATCATAGTCGATGATAACATCACTGTGCCCATCGCTATTCCAGAACCGTACGTGAGATTTTCACCTCATACGGCTCCTCAGAGGTCACAAATAAACCTAAGGGCCCTTTCCTATTCTTTATCTTGATATGTTTGTCAGATAGAGTCAAAATCTATCCTAAGGTCCCAAATTAGACCAATGGAATTCTGTCTGCTATATTTAAAACTAATAAATAAGTGCTTCTGAATTTATCTCATCTTTTAAGAATTTTAATTTTTCTTTGTTGATTAATAACCTTATCATTAAATAAAAAATGTGCTTTATAGCAATATCACATATACATTTCAACCTCGAATTTTCAATTACGAAAAAAATTAGAGAGTACATTAGTTCATGAATCATGACAAAAATTTTATCTCTCTAAATAGAAATCAAAATTGAATTATAGGAAAGAAAGAATAAAAACAAAAAAAGAAAAAAGGAAGAAAAAAAAAAGACATCCCTCCTTTTTGCTTTTGCAATTAGATTCTTTTCTTTCTATTTCGATTTTTTTATTTCATTCCTATTCTCCTTTCTCAGAAAAAGGGCCTTTAACCAAAGTAAAAGATTACTTCGTTCTTGATAGTTAGTTACTTACTCAGTGGATAGGAAATACTCTGGATCAGAATCATGGGAGTACTTCTTGATCATTTCTACGAATGTAAAGCCCAATTTGAATTCCTTTTATGTACAGAAATATCCTCTTGGATAACTTACATAATCTCAATTACTAATCCTTTGTGTATCTTGGTCTTCCTAACCATCCACTCATTTTTTGTTTCAAAAACCTCCCGTTGTGGAAATCCATCTATGGTAATAGACAGTAAAAAATCCATAGAGTTGGTCTTTTGAACCCGCTTCAAGCTATCATGACAATTCATGAATCTTGGGGTAAACAATCTCTCTTGCTTATGTTTACTTTTTTCACCATTTGATTCTTGTACATAGGAAATGAGACTCAACTTTTTTACTGCAAATTTAGAAGCCGTTTTCTTTCACTCATATAACTATCTGGTTTAGTTTATCAACTCAAATGCTGAAGAAAAATAAAAATATATATAGTCAATCAAATCTTTTTATCCTTGTTTCTAGAAAGAAAAGAATTTTGATAAATTTTAGGTCTCACCGAATCACACGTAGAGATATTGATAACACACATAGAGCTAATGGTATTTCATAACTAATTGATTGAGCAGCTGCCCGTAGACCACCTAAAAAGGAATATTTATTATTTGATCCATACCCCGACATAAGAAGTCCAACGGGAGCAATACTTGAAATGGCAATCCAAAAAAAAACACCAATACTAAGATCGGCTAGAACAAGGTGATCACCAAAAGGAATTACTGAATAACTTAGAAAGATAGATATTACTGCTATGGATGGCCCAATACTGAATAAACGAGTATCTCCTGTAGATGGAATAAGGTTCTCTTTCAAAAGTAGTTTTGTCCCATCTGCTAGAGCTTGAAGAATTCCTAAAGGGCCGGCATATTCAGGCCCGATACGTTGTTGTATTCCTGCAGATATTTCTCTTTCTAACCAAACAATTACTAGTACACCTATTGTGATTCCTAATACAAGAGTCACAATAGGGACAAGCATCCATATGATCCCATAGACTTCTTTTAAGGATTCCAATTTGGAAAAAGAATTGATAGTCTCTATTTCTGTTGTATCAATTATCATTTCAACGATCAACTTCTCCCATAATGATATCTATGCTACCTAGTATTGTCATAATATCAGCCAATTTCATTCTTTTAACTAACTGAGGAAGAATTTGCAAATTGATAAAACCTGGTGGGCGAATTTTCCATCTCCAAGGAAAAACGCTCTGGTCTCCTATCAGAAAAATCCCCAATTCTCCTTTTGGGGCTTCAACTCTCACATAAAGTTCTTGTTTCGACAATTCAAAAGTTGGAGAAGGCTTTTTACTAATAAACCGATATTCAAAATCATTCCATTCAGGATCTTTTAATCTGTCAAAACGTCGCATTTCTAAATTTTCGTAAGGCCCTCCTGGAATTCCTTCTAGAGCCTGTTGAATAATCTTTATGGATTCTGTCATTTCACCGATTCGTACTAAATAACGAGCTAATGAATCCCCTTCTCGTTGCCATTGAACCTGCCAATCAAATTCGTCGTAAGACTCATAATGATCAACT